TTTGAGGGGCAGGTTTGGTAAAGTGAGGTGTGATATCAATTTAAGGGAGGATGAAGCAAGTATCATACATGACCACAACAAAGGCAGAAGTTGCTTATCCTCAGATTAAAAAAAAATATCTTTTGTCGTGGTTTAATCGCAAATATAAAAGTCAACTTAAGCGCTGATTTCATTACATGAAAACACCAGCAGAGTAAACATTTCACAATATAAAGGCTACTATCTAGTTTCAAATATCAGAAAAAAAGATGCATATGAGGATCCTACATTCTGACATATTCAAACAATGTGTTAACTTCTGTCCTACTTATGTCTTGTGTGTGTTATTCTATTTATAGTTGTCTAGAGAAATGTTGTTATGTCTGTCCTGCCTATGTCTTGTATGTTGTTTTATTTTATTCATGTTGTTTGAGTCTAGTTCTATTTATAGTTGTCTACAGAAATGTGTTTACTTCTGTCTTGCCTATGTCTTGTGTGAGTTGTTCTATTTATAGTTGTCTACAGAAATGTGTTTACTTTTGTCTTGCCTATGTTATGTGTGTTGTTCTATTTATAGTTGTCTACAGAAATGTGTTTACTTCTGTCGTGCAGGACGCCGTCACCACGAGCCTACACATACGATATATTTTTACCGCCCTAGTCCAGTCTTTTAGTGTGTAGACCGTCCAGTGGTTGGTTACAACATTATCAACAAAGTAGAAATTTTAGAGTTTAAAAAATAAAGCAAATACAAAAAAAAAACGTTATAACAAGCTTTTAAATGCACTGAAAATAAGAAAATCACCTAACTCGCGTTCTTAAAAAACACAACTTTTTTCGCTGAAGAATGTAAAATGTTTTATGATCTACCACATGGTATTGAGAAGCACACGTTCTTAATTTTCTTCTCCCAATCTTACAACATATATATGGCACGTTTTATATCCGACATGATATAATAGTTAGCATCATTGGAAAACTTTATTTATCTTGTATTGATAATTGTATTTTACATCATCTCGGAAACACTCTAAGTTTATAATCAGCTTTACAAATTTCACAGATATAATTTTTTTCGTGACTTTCTTTTCGTTACTTTTTTGCTGTTAGGATCGCCTTTTCTTAATCGTATCTACCTTGGCATAAAGTGTAAAATCAAACACAGGTACAATTCAAAACATGCTATAATATTTCTTTATTTGCACATATTCAATCTTCTACACTCTTGTAACCTACTGTACTCTACTTTGGCTGCCTAGCCTATCATCGTGGCTAGAAACTCTCATTTAAGTGTTGAAAACATTTGATTTGATAGCCAACACTTAAAATCTTGTTTTAATTGACTATGGTTAAAATTAAATGGTTTAATTAAATGATTCCATACTTTAACCTATTCCAAGGTTAACAAATAAAGTGATAATAGTGTTGGAACAAAATCAAGACAAGAGTTATATCATTAAAGCTATAAACAAAAGCTAAAATAGTACATGTAAACATTCTTTATAGATAGTTGCATGGATACTGTATTGTACCATTGCTGATCGCGCTGCGTAATTGCAAAGTATAAGTTCAAAGTTTAACTCTCACGGTCTTAATGTCTTACACGATGTCATTACATTAGTAGAAGTGTTGGATGGTTAGTAATATGTTTGGGTATATTGTAAACTAATCATACAAAAAAGCTCACATTAGTTTGACTAAAAATACGTATTTACTTATTACTTCCCATTATTTATACAAAACAGTACACGGGAGACAAATTTCTTATAGTTTATATTACTAGCCGTGAAAATGATTTGATAAAATATACAGGAACGCGACTAGTAAGTCTGAATTGAAAATTAAATATATTAAAATATACTTACTTAACTTACTTACTTACTTAATCCTCATCACTCCCTGTGGAGTATAGGGCAGCAACAAATCTCCGCCATTCCACCCTGTCCTGGGCGAGCCACTTTAGTTCATGCCAGGTTTTGCCAGTAGCCTGTACTTCTTCTTCCATCTCCCTCCTCCATGTTCCCAGTGGTCTTCCTCTACTTCTCTTTCCGGGTGGGTTCCACTTCAGCGCCATGTTGGGGAGTCTTTTTTTGCTCATGCGTAGGACATGGCCCAGCCATCTCCATCTCCTCGTTCGAACTTCTGAGACAATGTCGTTTAATCCTGTCCTTCGCCATATTTCCTTGTTCGGGACTTTGTCGTCCCACTTTATCCTGAGGATGCGTTGGAGGGATCTTCTTTCAAAGCCTCTGAGTCGGCTGTCTACTTTCTTGTTTAGTTTCCATGACTCTGCAGCATAGAGGAGTACAGAACGTACATTAGACTTATAGATCCTTATTTTAGTTCTCTGCTGCAGTGAGGATGATTTCCAGATCTTAGCGAGTCTGTTGAAAGCTTGTGCTGCCATTGCTATTCTGGTGGCAATTTCTTTCTCCATGCTGCCATTTGCTGATATATAGCTGCCGAGGTACTTAAAGTCTTCGACCTCTTCTAGCTCTGCTCCATTCACAAAGGTCTTGAGAGCACTTTTGGGTTTTATTTTCATTAGCTTGGTTTTTCCGGAGTTTATCTTTAGCCCAACGCTTTTGGCAATTTGTTCTATTCTTGTGGTTTTCGCTTGGATGTCTTTTTGGGCATGTGAAAGTAAAGCCAAGTCATCAGCAAAGTCACAGTCCTCTAGGTGGTTGGTAAGTTCCCAAACAATTCCTCTTGGCTTATCCTCAGTGGCTCTTCTCATAATCCAGTCTATTACCACCAAAAAGATGACAGGTGAGATGACACAGCCCTGACTGACTCCTGTTTTTACCTTGAACCATTCACTTTGCTGATTTTCGTGTCGCACACAGCATTGGTTATCATAGTACATGTCCTTAAGTATGTTTATGACTTTTCCTGGAAAGCCATATAGCTCTAGTATCTTCCATAATGATGGATGGTGGATGCTATCAAATGCTTTCTCGAAATCTATGTAGTTGATGTAGAGAGACGAATTCCACTCCAGGGACTGTTCCACTATAGTGCGCAAGACAAATATTTGGTCGTTACATGACCTGTTGGCCCTGAAGCCAGCTTGTTCTTCACGAAGGATCCCATCAATTCCTTTCCTCATTCTTTGTAATAGGACTCTGCAGAAAACTTTTCCTGGTACTGACAGAAGATTAATGTCTCTCCAGTTCTCACAAACATTAAGGTCGCCCTTTTTGGGTAATTTGATAATGATTCCCCGTTTCCAAAAATCTGGGACTTTTTCTTCATTCCATACTTTGTTGATGATCCCTGATAGAGTTTCTGCACCTTTTTTTGGGTCTGCCTTTAGCATCTCCGCAGTGATTCTGTCCTCTCCTGGAGCCTTATTGCTTTTTGTTTTTTGGATAGCTTCTATTATTTCTTGTTCTAGGATGGGTCCTCTATACATTTCAAAATGTATGTTCATGTCTGTGAAGTCATAAAATATAAGGACAACTTTATTTTTTCCTTTAGGGTATATGTATTTTTGTCTTAACAATTTGTGGATTTTTAAAGACCGAACAACTATAAGGAGTTTGTATGCACTTTTTAAAGACAGGCACATCCGTCGGTTTAAACCATAATCAGCTTCCCTTTTCCCATCACGGTATGTTTGTACTACTTGTTATTTGCAAAAAAAAATAAAGAAGATGACGTTTAATTGTCAGAACAAATCACCTGTTGTAATTGTCATAGCGTAGATATAAAGAATTAGACGACTAGTAGATGTTACAAAGGACGGTGCGAACTTGACTGTAGACGATTTGGTGCGAGAGTATTGTGCGCATGTTGAATACAATATTTGTGGCGCAAATGTGACGTGAGCATGACACGAGAATGTACCAATGACGTAGACCGCGGCAGTAACGTGAGTTCGGGGTTAGTAATTGTAGGAGACGGATGTATTCTTTGATATTGTGCAAATAAGTGTGTATTAATAAAGTTAGTGTTCTTTTCATAAACGAAGTGGTTGACTTTTGCTAATTAGTGTCTGCGGAACATAAGAGTGATTCCCGTCCTACTCACAAGTATAATAGTTGTCGAATGAATAGTAGCAGATCAGAATATAGAAAAGATTTAGAGAAGATATAATTATATAATATATATGAAACCCCCCATCACATATTGGTGGAGCACAAGTGGTCCTTAATTCCGCAAGTGGTGTTTTAAAAAGGATTCGAGTGAAAAGTTGTGAAGTTTGAAGCGGATTCGTGTTGACCAGAGGTGCTACTAGATCATCGCAGGGAAGCAAGATAAGTACCTTCCTCTGATTTTTTGTAAGTAACCGGGATTGTTTGGATCCTGTGCTGGTTATTCAGCAGTTTTTTTTTCTTTTTCGTGTTTGTTTTATGTCTTTATAGATCTAGTCTTGTTATTCTTAAATTGTCTGAGGCTTCCTAACGATAGGACACACTGAGTGTAGGCCTGCCTTTTAAGAAGTGCATATTACTATTAGATGTAGAAGTCCTGTTTGTACTGCCGTTCTTTACCTTCTATTGTTACCATAGGTCCTGTATTATTGTTGTGATTATCGCGTCAGTTATCTGTGCCGTTTATCGCTGTTTGTATAACACTTTAGTTATTTTTGTGTGTACGATTATTTTGTGTGCGTTCATTCAAATTATTAAAATTCACACACCATGACTGACCTCGCTCAGTTGTATAAGCTAGGCAAGACGCTCGAAAAAAGTGGCGCTGAGCTAGAGGCATGGGTTGAAGAAAAATATAGAGCTATCACGGCTGATAAAGAGCGGTTGGCCCACATAGACGCAGACAAGTGTATTAGAATTGAAATTGAACGTGGAAAACTGGAGCTAGAAAAAGACAAAGAAAGGACAAAAGAAAAATCAAGACTGGAATTGGCAAAAATAGACCTTGAGAAAGAAAAGGCTAGAATAGAAATGGAGAAAGAAATTGAATTAAAACGGTTAGAAGTAAACAAAAAAAGTACACAAGCAGAGCAGGTTGAAGCACCACCAACAACAACCAATCATTCCAGAAGCATGCTATATAAAATGCCTAAATTTGAAGACAAAAAAGACGACATAGATGCTTTTATTCGACGGTTCGAAACGATCGCCAAGTCAGAAAACATAGCCGACAATATGATGAGCCAACACCTGCTCACTCTGGTTGGTGGAAGAGGACTCGACGCCTGCCACACCCTGACTGACGAGGAAATAAAAGACTACAAGACATTAAAAAAGACCCTACTAGAATTCTACCACCTGACAGAAGAAACTTACCGACAAAAATTCCACCAACTTCAACCTAACAAAAATGAAGATTTCAAAGTGTTTACTAATGACTTAAAACTTACACTGGAAAAATGGATTGAGGCAGCATCTATTAACAAAACTTATGAAGATCTATTCCAATTCGTCCTGGTCGACAAAATATTAAATTCAGTCCACAGTGACTTATATTCCTTTTTACAAGAAAGAAAACCTAGAGATATAAAGACTGTCACAGAAATGACGCAGAAATTCATAGCGGCCCACCCGACAAATCCAGTATGTAAAAAGTACGACGAGACAGAATTAACTTCAGTATTCATGACCCATGTTGCCGACAGAAGTAAATACCATATGCAGTTCAAACCCGACAGACAACAACAGATGCATCAGTCGGACAAACGATGTTTTTATTGCAACGGCCTTGGTCATTATAAAAAAGACTGCAGGAAGGCCAGAAGACCAAACTCGTTTCAACATAACAATCAGTTCCGTGCACACAGTGCGAACGGTCGCTACTACAACATTAACAGCAACAGAATAGAGCATGTTCATTTTATGAGAACAATTGGACACCATAAACTGCCGAGCTTCCAATGTAGGGTTAATGGACAGGTGGTGAACGCGATCAGGGACACAGGCTGCAGCACACTGGCCGTCAAAAGCAGTGTGGTACATCCCAACCAGTATACGGGTAAACATATACCTGTCCAGGGATTTGATGGTAAAATTTCCCTTCACCCTACTGTACGGATAGACGTTCACACACCATATATATCAGGTAGATATGCCGCTGTTGTTTTTAATAAAGGACCATACGACCTGATCATCGGCAATGTGATTGACAATCAGACGCTACCTCAAGGTGACATAGATAAGTGGCTGCAAACTGAAATAGTTCAATTGGTAGAAACGAGGGCCCAAACTGCTGCTAAAGTTATAGAAGAAAGTAAAGCATCAGAACAGGCCGTGAACAACGAGACTAAACAGTCGGTGGTGACAGAGACGACCTGGTCCCCTGAATCATTCCAACAAGAACAGCACAACGATAAATCGCTGAGCAAAATATTTAAACTTGCTCAGAAGAAATCGGTAACCGTGTCAAAAAATAAAAAGGAACACTCCTTCTTTGTAAGAGACAACACATTGTTTAGAAAATTCACAGATAATGATAAAACAGTCAATCAGCTGGTTGCTCCACAGAAATACCGCCAGGCGATATTACATCACGCTCATGATCTACCACTGACAGCACACATGGGCAGAACAAAGACCAAGCAACGAATAGAATCTGCTTTCTACTGGCCTGGCATGGACAAAGACATATCTGCATATGTTAAATCATGTCACATATGCAGAACACAAGATACATCTAAGCCACCTGCGGCCCCGCTCCTTAGGCATATCGCTACCGCCCCACCAATCTGTACAATGGAATCAGTGGATCTATCATCGGAAAATGTTACAACTGATGAGCTTGCATGTAAAAAAATAAAGCTAGATGCTTCTGGAGAAAGTAACAACATACAAAAACCCTGCAAAGAAGAAGATGCTGAAATACCTGCAACAGTTGTAGACAATGAAAAATGTATTGAAAATAAAAATGGTATCCACTTAGAGAGCGAAATACATGAAAAAGAGGTGCCTATTAATGAAATACAAGCAGGAATTACTGAATATCTTGGGGAACATGAAGGTTTTAGTGCTGTTATAAAACAAAGGTACTCTGATTTCATTGTAAATGAAGTTGATTTAGATGGAAATGAGGTGCATTTAACACAAATGACATGCCCTGTTGAGGAGACAGATGAAGATAAAAAAGCTGAAGATAATAATGACAAGATTGTGTTGGAGAAACCAGATGTGATTAGTGATGAAGATCTCTCCAAGATTGATAACCTTGTTAAAACAGGACTATCATTTCACAGTTGTTCCCATCCCGGGAAAACAGAACCGACTGGCTGACATATTGTCAAGAAATTAAATATAGCTTACACAGTCACAGGCAGAGAGCTGCTCCTGCAATACAGATATGTGACACGCAATACAACATACATGTCTTTTCTTTGTGTGTAGTAGATCTCTTTCTATTTTAATGCTAGTCGTGTGTAGTTAATGATTTAGTAATGTAGTTGATATTTTGTTGATAATTATAATAATGTAGTTACTATTATTATTATGTAGTGTGTCGTGGACAAATAACCAGCATATCAAAATTTGGTGGGTTTTTTTCTTTAAAAGAGGAAGGTTATTTGTCCGACGGGCACAAAAACGCTTAGCTGGCATATGTTTAAGACGACATGTCCGCTCATATTTTCTCAGAATCTGACGTCATCTTCGTGAATGCTACGCACTGATGCCCAGCTTAAATGAATGCAGCGGTCAAACGACCAGTACATCATGAACGTGAACATATGAAACACATCGTCAAGGACACGTCCGCAGGATCACGTCAAGTAACACATCTAGAGGAACCAAATCAATGTGAGATGGGTCATCCTAACCAGATTACTGAAGCCTTACGCATGGTCGCGGTCAATTTCCGACCAAGTCGTAACGGCAAGAAGGGTCACCATAACCAACTAACAAAAGCCTTACGCACGGTCGCGGTCAATTTTCGATCAAGTCGTAACGGCAACTTCAGCTTATAAATATCTGTTTTTCAGTCACAGTGTTGCCAAGTTTTGTGTTTATAAAGCTCAAGGGAACATTTAGACGTCAAGTATAACAGGGAAAACTGTCTACACAGATGATAAACGTTTGTGGAACTGTCTCTACCGAAGATAAAAATTCATTGAGTGACGTATATTTTGTAAACTTGTCTACACAGATGATAAACTTTTGTGGAACTGTCTCTACCGAAGATGAAGATTCATTGAGTGACGTATATTTTGTAAATTTGTCTACACAGATGATAAACTTTTGTGGAACAGTCTTTACTGAAGATAAAGATTCATTGACTGACGTATATTTTGTAAATTTGTCAATACAGATGATAAAGTTCTCTACTGGCAGTTCAAGATGCGGCATGACATTGTTGTCGTTTGTTTTTTTGAAAATGTGAATGCTGGAATTGTTGCTATTGAAATGTTAATGTAATTCAGTCATTGATGACGCTATGACTATGTATTTATACGATGATTGACGATGATTGACTAAGAAGACAGAAAAAAAAAACTAATAGTATTAGTTTTTTTAATTGTAGGGGGGGAGGAGATGTCATAGCGTAGATATAAAGAATTAGACGACTAGTAGATGTTACAAAGGACGGTGCGAACTTGACTGTAGACGATTTGGTGCGAGAGTATTGTGCGCATGTTGAATACAATATTTGTGGCGCAAATGTGACGTGAGCATGACACGAGAATGTACCAATGACGTAGACCGCGGCAGTAACGTGAGTTCGGGGTTAGTAATTGTAGGAGACGGATGTATTCTTTGATATTGTGCAAATAAGTGTGTATTAATAAAGTTAGTGTTCTTTTCATAAACGAAGTGGTTGACTTTTGCTAATTAGTGTCTGCGGAACATAAGAGTGATTCCCGTCCTACTCACAAGTATAATAGTTGTCGTATGAATAGTAGCAGATCAGAATATAGAAAAGATTTAGAGAAGATATAATTATATAATATATATGAAACCCCCCATCACAGTAATGACGTTAACACTGATGCAGACACAAAATAGTATTCCTTATATTTCCTGACATGATACACACACCGTAGACCGATTTAAGACATGATAAATAATTGTAGACACATGTGTCGGATGTTACTGAACTGTGGGCGCATGTGTATGATGCTATTAAAATGTAGGCCTATTTGTCGGTCTAAATGTAGGTCTTATATGTTTGACAACATATGACCCTCTAATAAGTTCACATTTGATATACAACTGTGTGTATGCAGGGACATTTGAAAATGAACATTTTAGCAAGGGGAGTAATAACCAATTTAATTAACAAAGCAAATAAACATAAAATACATTTGAACAAAAGAAGATAAAAACACACAGGTTTTACGTGTATAAACAAACATATAAAGTTAAAAATACATTAAAAATGTATATTTGAAGATAATTATAAACTGCGTGTGTTGTCTATTTAAATTATATATTTCATTGAATATTTAACACTTTCACGATGTGTGTTACAAATTTTGGAGTTTTGAGATGAAGTCTTATTTAGTTATGTTCTGTATTAGATCTTAATTTAGCGTCTAATTAATGCTTTTCTGAATTTTATAAATCTTTTACTATCGACAAAACCACTTCCTCCCCCCTCCCCCACCCGCCCCCCGCCCTACTAGTTTTTTTTTGGCATCTTCGAATTAATGTTCCTGTTAGATCAGTTTCATAAAAACGTCAACATAAGTTATATAACATTTAATTGGAAATCCCACACTGATCCTGAAAATACCCACAATTGGACCTGTAAGTTCTCGTTTTCTCTCACTTATCCACGGAGACATAACACTTTTAGAACTAAATCAATTATTGTGAACATAATTCACATTGATAACAAAAAAAAAACACGGTGGCTATTTGTCACTAAGTCACGCTTAATGAATTGTAATTAAAGTGGAAATAATTGTTTACGTAGCCTAATGACCACGTGACACCAAGGGATGACAAACTCAATAACAGTAAAGATCTGGTACCACAATTGTTGCCGTTGGCGTCTTAAAGTAAACTTAAAATATGTTGTTTTTTTTAAGTTTGTATAAATTAAATATAGTGGCCGGATGAAGGACATGATATACACATTTTTTTTTAAACCGATACAATAAATTAAAGCAACATTGCATTAATGTGCATGCTGTTACACTTTTACTTTTGGAAACCATACAAAAAATAGAATAACAATAACAATTGCTAATGAAACGTGAGTTGTCGTTACGTAAACACTGATCTCCTGATTTTATAACGTTTGACTTTAATCACACATTTGCCATGTAATCAATCACACGACATACTCAAGATAATCACCTTACAGCAAATCGTATTTTAAAATATCTAGCAATAAAACGACAACTCAACTGTTTTATTTATTACTTAGTGAGTTTACATTGTGTCGACTTAGAAGAAATTGAGTAAGGGAATTGAAATGGATCAATTCATTGTTTCCCCTCGTGTTCCTTCATGTTTTATTGAGACAACTTAGATCAGTTATCACATTGAAATATTCACTCACAGTAGATCACACGGGTCACTAGCAAAAGCCCTCGGGTCACCAGCAGTAGCCCACGGGTCACCAAAATTACATTACGGGTCACTCACTATAGAGTACCATACTGTATTTGGTGTTGTTTTTTTTAAATTGTATTAATGGTTTAAATCGAGAACAAACAACTAATTACGTTAGAGATTTTGAATATGTATGAGGGTTGTCAATACAACTTGAGTAAAAATAATGTTTTTCTTATTATTATATTTTTAACTGATTTATGGAGATAACGATATGAAGCATCTATTCGTGTTTGTGTGTGTGTTGGCTCATGTGCTTTATTTTGAGAAAAAAGAATCGGACCTAATCGGAAAAGAATAGTTTAATTAAAGTTGTGGACAAACTACTTATAGTCAAAGCCCCTGTATAATAAAGGCCCTGTGTTCAAATCGCCTGTAGCAGGATAACCCGTATCTATAAGAAACTTATTGTCAAAGCATCAAGACTATATTTTTGGCATAACTAAAGACCTATTTTTAATTTAAAAAATGATAAATTTCCTTTTGAAGAAATACATCAATGCTGGTAACCCACCAGCTGTTTAATTTTGGGAGTTTAAATGTGTATTATACTGTAACATTCACATTAATTTTGACATGAGTTTATTTAAAACAATAAAAATAACTATTAAACAAGTAATTACATTTTACTTTACCGTAATATTTCAGGGCACATAAAATATATCAGTACTTATTTTTTTAAAAAGAAAATATATTTAATATTTTAAACTAAATAAAAACACGTGTACATTGTATCGTTTAATTTGTGTTTGGTGTTGTCGTTACATTGGTAGCAATGTGTTATTAATTGGATATATTTTATAATAAGTTGTTATATACGTAATTAGTTATGATCTATTTTACTAATATTATCTGGCGTTCAAAATAACTGATGACTAAATTATGATACATTTTTTTTCCAAAAAAAATTTAAAAAAAATTAACGGGACAATTAGTCCACTCAGGTCAAATGGGTTACCTGACTCCGTACATAACCCATAGCAGATAGAACACTTTGATCTTAGTCAAAATGTCGAGAAGAGAATCGGTGCAACAGAGGCGCAGCGACCACTCCCGGCGCCCAGGGCGAACTTTCAGTTTGGCGCCCCCATATATATATATATATATATATATATATATATATATATATATATATATATATATATATATATATATATATATATATGCGTGTGTGTTTGTGTGTGCGACAGTCTGAAAAAAATTAACAATTACGCTGATTGTCGTTCCCTAAAACTTCACTAGACGCCAATTAAATTCCCCTTAAGATGCCGAAACGAAAGAAGTAGAAAATCAAAAGAGCTTACAACAGTGGGCTCCATCGAACCCGAGAGGTTCGGTAATTTAGTCTCAGGGCTTCCGCGGAGGTCAAGATACACATCCGACTCATATGATACACGATCGGATTTTGTCAATTGTGGACGATACAACTATTAAGGAGGGTTCGGTGATTACACATATGAAACTGGTGGGGTTCGGTACTCCAAAAAGTTAAGAACCACTGCTTTAGAGTGTATTTTGTAGAAGGTGCAAGCCTTATTTGGTCTACTTTTGGTCGTGTCTTTAGAACAATTTCGATATTAGTAGGCCAATATTGCAATTTTGAATTATCAGTTAGGTTGAACAAAGTAATAATCAGTACAATATACTAATTTTCTTCTCTCTTAAAATTTTGTCAAAGAGTGTCGCTTCCTATCCACCCGCTCCGACAGTCTGCTATTTTA